GTCTCTGAACGGGACTTCTCAGATGGAAGCTCCAGATGTAATCGAGCTGAGACTCGCCACCTGTGAGGCAGTGTGGCTGACGGAGACCGCCCTAGCTGGCGGAACTACTAAGGATTAGGAAGTGTGTCACTGGAGCAGGCTTTGATACTTCAAAGGGCTTCAGCCATCCCCAATGTGCTTTGGCCACAGCTTGGTTTGAGCGCTTAGCTGTTTTTGGTCCATTACCTCCATGACATCACACTGATTAGACGAAGTGAGCTGAAGACAGCTACTCCGGGCTTGTTGGTAAAGCTTATGTGCACCAGAGGATAGAAGTAAATTCAACCAGAATTCAAGGGCTGAGACAGGATCTTCCAGAAGCCTGTGCTTTGAATCATCATCCAGGATATGGTAGTGTTTCTCCTATTACTAGGATTCAAGGGTCCAACTGGGAGTGACCCATTACAAAACAAAACAAAACAAAACACAAAAACCTTTTTTTGCTTTGTACCTGTGCAACCACTGCACTCTGGTAGCGAAGAAATTTTGTTACCTCAACAGGCAGTGCTCCTGCCCAGGGCAGAACAAACACCCTGCTGAACTGTAAACCAAGACTTTTCCTTGGCCACTTTGGGCTCCTGATGCCCTTGAGTCAACTGGTTAAGTAGTTATAGTTGGACATCTTTAATCTCAGCACTTAGATGCAGGTGGATCTCTGTTGAGTTTGAGGCCAGCCTGGGTCCCCCCACCCCCAGCCTGGTTCCAGGACAGCCAGGGTTTTGTTGAGACCCTGTCTCAAAAAGAACCAACTGGGGGCTGGAGAGATGGCTCAGTGGTTGAGAGCACCGGCTGTTTTTCCAAAGGTCCTGAGTTCAATTCCTGGCAACTACATGGAGGCTCATAATCACCTGAAAAAAAAATCTGGTGCCCTCTTCTGGCATGTAGGCACACATGCAGGCAGAATACTGTTTAAATAAATAAATCTAAACAAACAAAAAAAAGAACCAAGTAACCCCCCCCCCCCCCCCCAACAACGAAAAACAGCGTCAAACAATCATAAGCAGGCAGTTCTGTTAGGTGTGATTGATATGGACCCGGGGAACTAGACTGCTTCTCCAACACAAAAGGCTGCTGAATACAAGTGGCCCTTTCGGGATGCTCTGGTATTGCCATGTCCTGTGGTTAAGTCCAATGGGCAGTTTCAACCCAGTCCAAGGAGGAATGACAGGCCCAGACCCTTCAGGGAGGAAAGAAGAGATCCAAGACCTGCTGAGGCGCTTGCAGAGGAAAGCAGTTACAGATGTCAGCTAAGGCCACCTGGTAAGTCACAGAAAACAAGGGCTGTGAGTGATGCTTGTCTAGTTCACACAGAGACGTGTGTCTACTTTTGATGGTTAATCTTAGTTGCCAACTTGACTGAATCGGGGACCAACTAAGGCACTAGACAAGCTATGAAGCATTTTGGGGGATAGGGAAGAGCCTCCCCCAGAGTGGGTAGTATCTTCTGGCCTGTCGGAATGTATAGGAGTTTGAGGTGGGCCAGCAGGATGGCTCAGCGGGCAGTGTGCTGGCTCTGTAATCCCAGAGGCCTAAATCTGATCACAGATAAACTTGGACAAATCATCCTCTAGCTTACTTCCATGCAGAACTGCCCTAGCTGTTGGCCCCTCAAGTGACAGGAGGCTCCTAGTCTTTCAGGATTAATTACTTGTGCCCTTACCATGGCTGACATTACCTAAAAAATCCTGAGATTCTACAAGAGAAGTCCCTTGCCTCATGCTCATGAAGACCTGTGCTGTGTGGTGGCTCACCAAACACCAGAGGCCAAAGACCAAGCAGTAGCCATGAGTTCAAAGCCAGCCTGGTTTGAGTTCCAAGATAGGCAGAGTATAGAGTGAGACTTTTTCTGTGTTGCCTTGACTGTCCCGAACTCACTCAGTAGTCCAGGCTGTTCTCAAACTCAGCGATCCACCTGCCTCTGGCATCCCAAGTGCTGGGATTAAAGGTGTGCACAACCACTGCCTGGCTTAAGACTGTCTTGAAAACAAACAAAAAATTCCTTAGTGAGGCCTCCTGTTTAAAATGGTTTCAGTTGCTGTAGCTTGTTTTCCCATAGAATTTTTAGGATTTTAGTAGAAATTATGCTAAGTCAATGGAACAATTTTAGGAGACACATTATTACTGTCCTGAATTGTGCAATCAACAAACATGCCTTTTATTTTTGTAGGTTGACAGCTTTCACCACTATTTTGCAGTTTCTGTTTCTTCAGTGTATAGCCAAGGGCTTAGAATGATTGAATGTAAGTGGCACCATGTTATTTGTTCATGTTGGGGCAAGGGGGATGGGGAGAGGAGATTGAGACAGGGTCTTATATGTAGCTCTGTCTTGGACCTGACTCTACAGAACAGGCTGGCCTCAAACTCACAGAGGTCCACCTGCCTGTCTGCAGAGAATTGCAGTGCCACAGCAGGCCTGTTTTGTTTATAAAGATTTAGCCATGTATATACATGTTTATCTTAGTTTGTGCAGGCTTGTGATCTCCTGGAGCTGGAGTTAGAGGAGGCAGAGATGGGTGACCTGACATGGATTCTGAGAACCAAACAGATCCTTTGAAAGGGCCTTGGCAAGATCCAGGCCAGAGAGACCACAGCACAAAAAAAAAAAAAAAAAAAAAAAGCAAAGATGGATAGCACGTGAGGAACAGCACCTAGCCTGGCCTCTAGATGATATGCTCTGGTATGTGTGTATGCACACACAAACACAGGTGTACAAAGAATCTGGATAAGAATGTTCCTCCTTTTGAGGATGAGCACTTGCCTCAAAATGGATCACAGACTGGGGGCTGGGGAGATGACTCAGCGGTTAAGAGCACTGGCTGCTGTCACAGAGAACCCGGGTTCATTAGCCAGCACCCACATGACAGCTCACAAGCTCACAACTGCCTGCGACTGCAGTTCCAGGGCATCTGACACCATCACAGACATGCCTATCAACATTTTAAAGAAAATAATTTCAAGACTTTTTTTTTTTTTGGTCTACAAGAGTAGTTCCAGGATAGCCAGGGCTACACAGAAAAACCCTGTCTCAAGAAACAAAAAGACTTGACACCAAAGTATAACACATGAAAGAAAAAATGAATAACTGGTAGGCACAGTAGCCCAGCACTCAAGGAAGCAGAGGCAGCCTGGTCTATAAAGTGAGTCCAGGACAGCCAAGGCTACACTGAGAAACCATGCCTTGAAAAAAAAAACAATAATTGAATCTAATGAAAATTTTATGTTCTGTAAAAAGCCAAGAGGACTAAAAACCACAAACTACTGAGTGGGAGAAAAACATTTGCAAACTGCATACTCAACAAAGGACTATGACATCTGTCTATAGAACAATCAAACCTAGGTGGCTCAGTAGCAGAGCACTTAACCAGCATGCCTAAGATCCTGGGTTTGAGATCCAGCACTGCAAACAGCCAATGACATGCTACTATAACCAGCCCATCAACACCAAAAAACTGGGACTTTTCAGAAACAAGACAGCTAGCAAATGCTCGTCGATTTTTATCAGAGACAAAAAGGTGCTCAGAAAGATTAGCAGCAACTAGGGAAGCAAAGCCACACCTGCCAAGAATCTCTAAGAGTCACTGAGGGGGCTGGAGAGATGGCTCAGTGGTTAAGAGCACTGTCTGCTCTTCCAAAGGACCCAGGTTCAATTCCCAGCACCCACATGGCAGCTCACAACTGTCTGTACCACGAATTCCAAGGGATCTGACACCTTCGCACCAATGCACATAAAACAAAGTTAAAAAAAAGTCACTGAGCAGCAGGGACCACACAGCTCAGCAATGAAGAACAGCAGAGAACCTTTAGCTCTCAGCACCATACCAACTCCAGGGGGATTTGATGCCTCTGATCTCCACAGGCACCCTCACTCAGGTGCTCAGACTCACAAGGAGACACAGCTATACAAAATTAAAAGAGGCCTTGAAAGCAAAGAGAAGCACTATCAGTAAGATGTTAGGTCAAGCACTCACAAAAAGCACGGTATCAATCTAGAAAATTCATGTCCCTAGAGCCAATCTCTGAGGCTTACATCCCGAGTCCTCCTTGGACCAATCTAGGACTGAAGGCAGTACACCAATGTCTATAGGTAGTTAACATGGGCCAGGGGTCCTATGGATCTGTGGTGATAGGAACATCCTCCAGCTAATTTCTGACTATGTCAGCAAAGTCCTAGCACTGAGTATTAACTGAATGGTGATCTTCAGTTAGCTCCAAAGAAAAGTCAATGCCCATGTGGTGAGCAGCACAAATGTTAATTTCCTTAAACACTAGCAGGCCTCCCCAGTTGGCTGCCTCAACCCAGCGCAGCTGTGACCAGATGTTCCCTCCCATAAGCCAGTTGTAGCCACTTCCCTGCTCCCCCCTCACCTCTGTGGTAAGCAACAGCCTGTGCAGGACGGAGTGCTCTGGGAGGAATGTACAGAATAGGGTAAGGACCTCCTTTGGCCTATAGGAAAGCCCCATCTATGGGAGTCTCCTGCAGAGGCTGGAAGGTAGACATCCTGCTGCTACTCAGGGCCCTGGACTCCATCTACAACAATGGTTCTTGAGTTGGCTGTCATTAAGGTAACCATGTGTGTATGGATTGTGTGGTATCAGCCAAAGGGACTTTTCTATTTTCCCAGGACCAGGGCCTCCCAAATGCTTTCATACCACCTTTTGTTATCAGATACTCTCTAGTTACATAGGGATGGCAGGGAACCTCTCAGGACTGTAATTGCAACTCTGCCATACACTCCAATTCTAGTCAGCTTCCTAGGAAGCTCAAGTGTCTAGGACCAGACCCGTATAAGTCCTAGGTTTTCTTTCAAGTCGCTCTCCCCTGCTGTGCTGCACCAGGCAGGCATTCTTGGGAAGTTGGGGGAGAAGAGTACAATGGGTAGAGCCTGGAGACCTAGGGGCGGAGACAGAGTGTGTGTTTCCAAAATAGAGGGGACAGGACAGACAACATATACAGAGCCTAGGAGGATATCAATCACCAGAAGATTTATTAGGACCTTTGAGGCTGTTAGCCACTCCCTACTCTGGCCAAGGTCCTTCAAGATGATTCATCCTTAAGGATGGCAACTCTGGCTTGCCCAGCACTCATTGATTGGCCCCTGAGCAGTCAGGTCTCTGGGATGCATTCTGAACTGATGGGAAAGGTCATTTAGCTAGCTCTTCGGCCACTGCTTTCCGCATCTTGTCTTTGAGGTAGGCGGCTTTCTGCCATTCAGACTTGAGATCCAGCCATTCATAATACGGGACCTGGAAGAAGGTAGTGAAGACAGGTCACATGGGTGGTGGAGTCCTTTTTTGCCTTTACATGGCCAGTGGTGGGAACCCCTACTCTGTGCTGGTGACTGACAGCTATAAAGAACCAATCCTTGGCCTGCAAGTCCTCAGGAAGAGTTCATAGTTAATCTATGCACATGGAGAGAGAAGTCTTGGCTTCTAGCAGGGGCAAAGAGACTGCAAAACAGATAGTTGACAGGACTTCAGAAAAAAAGCGACAGAAATTCTATGCAGCCCTCATAGCTCTGAATTTTCTTTGCAAGAAGCTCAGCACTTCACGAGTGATCTGAGCACTGAGGATACGTATCCTGTGCTGTGGCCCCACATGGTCACACAGTGGCAGTCAGTCACAGGGTAAGAGCTAGCTCCAAAGGCAGAGCAAGAGTTCCAAGGCTGTGCAGCACTCTAGGTAGGGTCTTCTCCCTCTGCAGCGACCCCCCACGCCCGCCAGGTACTCACATCTACCACCAGAAAGCCTGCAGCCAGAACATGTCGACGGGCCAGGACAAAACGGCCCAACAAGTCCTTGCTCCGGCTGTTGAAGTTAGGGAACTCCCAGCGTAGGAAAGCAACCCTAGCGGGATGAAAGGGTGCTCGTAAGACAAGCTCTCTGGTTAAGCCAGTTGTTAAAAAAATATCCAAGAACCGTGGTGCTGCTGCATCCCTCACCACGGCCTCGACCAGGACTCCCTGGCCACATACCTTTTAGCTCCTGGGGGTAGTGGCTGCTTCCCCACTGGCTGGGCAAGGTGAGGAGCAACAAAATCTCTTAGGGGCAGAAAATGGCCATCGGTATCCAGGAGCACCTCTGCATCTGCAGGGAGGGAACGGGATGAGGACCTGCAGGTGATGCCTCAGGGACCCTACCGTGTATATACAAATAGGTACTGGGGGAGGTGCCTACAGTTCTCTGGGTTGCTCTTTGCTGTACCACGATGGGTTACAAAGGGCCTGTTAGATTTAGACCCTTTCCCAGCAGAAGGGAATCCTTACCCAGCACCCAGCCATACTGTGTGGCCACCTCCAGGCTGCCCTGGTTAATGTTCCCCACCAGGGCCTTCAGCGTCTCTTGCAGCTCCTTTTGCAGGGGTGTTATCTTCTTGCTAGAGGATGAGGGACTGGGGGCTATAGCTGAGGCTGGCAAGAAAGGGCCTTTATATTCAGGGTGTTCCAGCAGGGCAGTGCTATTGATATGGACCAACTTCTGGAAGGTACTCTGATCCTTTGGAGACGTGCTTTCTGGGGAAAGGAGAGAGAAAGGTAGGCTGATGTAGAGCAGGGGTGCAGAAATGGCGATCACAAGAGACCACATGGGAAGTCCTGTCCAGCCTTAGGCTGTCGTTCCAAAGTTAAGATCTGTGCCAACTGCAGGGAGTGGTTGAAGGAGCCATGGAGCTGTGCTTTGTGTGCTCTGGCCTCCTCCTGTCTCTGCTCCAGATTCTTCCCCGGCTGGCAGGCCAGAAAGCTCCCGTGTCACTGTAGAGTATGCACGTTTATGTTGCGCGCAAGGCAGAATCCTCACCTAGAAATCGTGTGTGGAGTCCAGGATGAAGAACGGTTTGCAGCTCTGCTTCCCGCACCTGTTGCAGGACACACAGTGCCCACACCAGGTCCACCTGCAGGGCTGGCTCCAGGCTCCCTAGCATGGAGTCCAGCTTTTCATGTACCTGAGCAAGTACAGTGGAGAAAACAGGCTTAGCCAGGGCCTGCAACATCCTAGGAAATTCTGCAGGCAAGCCCTGGTCTTGACCTGCCATACTGGAGCCAGAGGCAGCTACTAGAAAGCAAGACCAACTTCCTGACTACAGAAGGCCTGCACCAAGCCCTGGCTGACGTATGAGGAACTTTCCCTGTGCCTGGAGTCTAGCTAGTATCTTGGTGTTATTTAGCTAGGTTCATTCATATCTTGCCCAGGAGCAGGGACCCAAGAACTCAAACCACTTGTGAAGCTCCCCCAGTGGGCATGGTGATGAAAGGAGAAATTTCAGCCAGGGCACACAGGTGGTTACACAGCTTTCGGCCCTGGCTGGTAGCGCTCAGAAACGTACCAGGCAATGCCCCAATAACCTGCCTGTTCTCCAACAGTCTCTGGGATGCCCCTGTTCTCCACCTCAAACCTTGTGCTCACCCCCGGTCCCAACCCTCCTAGACAGTGGCTTGAGGCAGAAGTGTGTCAGAACTGCAGTAGCTCAGCGTCCGTACCAAGTTGAAGAATTGCTCCTCTTGTTCAGAACGGAAGTTCAGACGGGCAAAAGCAAGAACAACGCTGCACAGATGGGCTAGTGAAACATCCTGGGCTCTGCTCAGGAGGTGCTAAGATATTAGAGGAACAAAGTAAGCGGCCTGCCAGCAGCTGTCTCCTCCCCTCTCTAAGAGTCCAGACTGTGCTCCCATTAGCAGCTTCCCAGAATTCAACTCCCTGATAGTGACTTTAGAAACTCTGACAGCTCTAGGGAAATGTGTATACAGGTACCATGTTTTCATACAATCCACTTGGAGTGGTCAGTGGCTGGGAGTACAAAGGTACCTCCCTTTCCTGTGTAGAGCCATGGCTGCCCCAAGACAGATGGAAACAGGATACTCTCAACTATTTTTTCCCCACCATTAGACATAACCTTCCAAATCAGAGTAAGAAAGAAGCCTATACTTACAACCCACAAACGAGCATTTTCAGCTTGACTTTGCTTCCATAATTAATGCAGCAGTTCTCAACTGAGGCCTGCAAAGCCTCTGCACAGAGAACCCCGAGTCCTAACTCACCTGAGTAAAGGCTTCAAACAAAGGCAGGTTGAGCCACTTGAGGAAGGCAAAGGACTTGGCACATCGGGCCACCTCGCCAGGTGTCATGCTGGGAATGAAGGGCAGGAGGTCAGCAGCCAGGCGCTGGCACACTTGGGTTTGGTGGAAACTGAGCTTACCTATGTGATGGAGCAGACACCAGAGATTAGTTATAGGGGAGGTCAATGTCCCACAGCCACTGCCCCACTCCACCTCAGACTTGACATCTAGGGCTTGGTGTCTGTGACTAATTTATCCCTGAACCTAGCATCAAGAACAGGGCTCAGAGGTCACAGAATCTCTATGGCAGCCTTCTGGGCCAGTGCTTGCCATCATTAGGACAGGCACTGAATTTGACGTCCATGGTCAGGGCCCTCTCTTCTCACCATAGGCGTAGGTCAGGTCCAGGAGCATGCCTTTCGTCAGTGGGAAGGGCTTCTGTACCAGGTGGTAGGAGATGGCCCGCAGCAGGGGCACCGACCGCCGGCTCTGTGCTGCCAGAGTCATTAGCACCTTCCGAAGCTCATCAGGGCCAAACTGCTCCACCAGCTCCAGGCACTGTCAACCACAGCCGCGCAGGGATCAGCTGAAGTAGTTGGGACGAGCTGGGGGCAGGGGTCCCATCCAGTGCAGCCCCTGTGAGACAGCAACTGGGCCTGAGCTGACTCAACACAGGCCCAGCTACATAGAATCACCCTTTCTGCCTGCCCCAGGGACTCCTAGATTTGGAGTGCAATGTCTGCAGCCAAACTTATCCCTAGGTCCCAGGGTAAGGGACATAGGGCCCATGAGCAGCAGAGCTTGCTGTGGCAGCCATTTGGGCCAGCTCCCGTCACGAGAAGATGGGAACCGAATTTGACTAGACTGCAGGGATAGCAACATGAAAGGGGTAGCAGACACACCCATCTATAGAATTCTAGCTAGAAGCTGAGCTGTGCAAGGGATAGCTCAGGCCTGACCAGGACTCCTGTGTGTTAACTCCAGAAGTTGTCTGCCATACCTACTTAAGATCATGTGGTTAGATGTTGGATTTATGTGATTGGAGACCTTCTCCATGTGATGCTTGAGACTGGGCAGAGGTTTCCAGGGCTGCAACGCCATTTCCCTTTTTGCAGAAGACTATCACCCAAGGAGGAGCCCCAAAGTCCCAGGTCTCTTCTCAGGCCCATACCTTGTCTTCCAGGCGGTTCATCAGTGATTCTGAGAGGTGCCCTGCCTTCGTCATCATGGTCACCAGTGTCCGGCTGTCATTGATCTCTGTCCAGCGCCTCTCCAGGTGCATCAGCAGCTCAGCCAGCAGTTCCTGGGAGTGCTGCTCCCGCATGAAGGAGGCACAGGACTCAAGCAGGAAGACCAAGTGCTTGTACTTGAGCCTCCGCAGACGCCAGCGCACTTCCTGCTCCACCGACTGCAGCTCCTTGGAGGTCTGAGGAAGCACAAGTGTGTACAGGCTCCGCAGCAGCTTTACCAGGGTCCCATGCCAGACTGAACTTATCTGCACAGAGAAGTACAAAGACAGTATGAACCCAATTCCAGTTACTTAACACAACTATTCCAAGCAGCTACTTCTACCCCAGCCCCATTGCTTGGTCCTGAAGCCTCCAAAGTATCTAGGACGCCTACCAGAGGTGGCCTAGAAAGTTTACCATTGCAAGAAAGAGTTCTAAGTGTTGAGATTCTTCAATACAGATTCAATCTGATGTGGTTGGCATAGTAACGTGGTACATACTTGTGCTATAAGCACAAGAGATACAAACACAGGTTAGACAACTTGGGCCTAAGGGCCTTGCCTCCAACAGTACCAGCTTTCTATGCCCAGTTTTGTTACAGACTTACTACTTTTGCTTACAATGACAAATTTTTAGATATGAAAAAACATGTCTTCAGAAAAATTATTGAGTTTGAGAAGCTCTAACTTTTCCATGTTTCTTCAACAAGTATCTGGTAACGTGGAGTTGTCCCCAAGCTTCAGAACAGTTCTGGGTCCAGGTCCTGCTCTCCTACTGCCCCCTTTCTGAAGGTTGACTCTTCTATGCATGCAGTGACTCAGGTCTTTGGAGCTATGGGGAGAAGCCATCTTGGCTGAGAGCCTACCATCAGGAAGAGCACAAATGGTATGACACTTGTGCAGAGTCAAACTCTCTGCACCGCTCAGGGCCACTGGAGGAATGGGAAGCACACTAGAAGGTGAGCTGGAAATGAAGCAGCTGCTGTCTGAAGGGCTGAGGCAGAGCAAGCACTGCTGTTATGATAGCCCCAGGGAGTCTGGGTGCCTGCATCTCTCTATCCTCCTAGACAAGTGTGTACGTACACACACACACACACTGGAGTTAGTATAGAGCCTCAAAGAATGTTGGTGCCTCACACAGGAAAGAGGGAGAAGAAGGGCACCAAGGGAGCCTACTTAGAAACTGTGGGCATGGGTGGGGCCTTCCCAGGCCTCTGCATTTGCAGGCACACACAGTTTAGAGCTGCAGTTTTCAAACCTGGACAGCAGCAAACCCTATCATCATTTTACATTGTGAAAGACTTGGTCTCAGGGCTGGGAGGATAACTTGGGAGGGTAAATGTGCTTGCAGTTAAGCATGATGGAAGCAGAGAACTGCCTCCTATAAGTGCACCACGACCTCCACATGCATGCCACAAGAACACAAAAGCAGCAACCACTTAAAACCACAAAACTCCTTTCTTGCTATTGCTGCTGTCTCACAATTCTGTAAAACAATGTTTAGTCTTGTCTCTTAAGACTTTAAGTTATCTCTGGGAACATTAAACAAAACAAAAAACCACAACTAGAATTAAAACCCCATAGACTAAGGGGTTTAAGTTTATTTTATGAACTGCATACTCAGGAGGAAATAAGTGAGTCCGACCTGACACAGGGTAAGCTGAGTAACATGCTTAAAGGAGTTCTATACTATCTACCTCATTAAAAACAGCCACATCTTATAGTAATTTAAAAACCTGTAGCTTTTTAAAAAAAGTTAATGTATACCTGCATGCCAAAAGAGAACATGAGATCCCTTTATAAATGGTTGTGAGCCACCACATGGTTGCTGAGAATTGAGGAACCCTGGAAGAACAGCCAGTGCTCTTAACCCCTTAGCCATCTCTCCAGACCTAACACCCAACCCCCAGCTTTTAAAGCACTTAGCCCAGCCCCTCTTTATTACACTGAGACTAGGGAGGGAGAGGCCAGTTTAGCCAAGGCAGGTTTGTACTTCCTTTTAGCTGGTAGAACCCAGGGAAATAGCTTTGTGAAGGGGTCTTTCCTCTGGCTGTAGCTGAATGGGGCCACAGAACCACACAAACAGGCCTTATCTTACCCTCACGCCACCCTTTGAGAGTTTGTTAGAATCTAGCCCTAGGTTCAGAGGCCTTCCATTAGCCATACTACATCTCTTCTAATTTCAAGAGTGGTGTCAAGGGGCAACAAGACACCCAGGGCTGGGAGTAGGAATGCAAGCCAAAGCTCTGCTGTTGAGGGGAAAGCACCAAAGGAACCGAGAAGAACTAGGCTCATTTCCTGTACTTCTGACATCAGGTGTTAGGTTGCCTGTCTTTGACTCCATCATTCACCCAACAGGCTCCTGGGAGGATAAACAAAGAGCACTACAATGTTCTTTGGCTATTTCCCCTCATGCATACCCCCAGGCACCAGGTCACACTCACCTGCCGGTCAACTAGCCTGACAAGCTGCTGAAAGCGGGCATCCTCTATAAGCAAGGCCTTTTCCTTTGGCTTCTCGGACAGCACGTAAGAAAGCCTGATGAGGATAAGGGCCAAATGGTTGTGGTGCAGGCTATGATCACCACCTAGAAGTTGCAGCAGCTCCTCTGGCCTGGTGGCTTTCTCAATGAGGTAGTCTACCTCTTGACGCTCTGGATAGGGAGTGAACACTTGCTCTTTTCCCAACAGCTCTGTCAAGGAACCCGAGGAGGGGGAACTGACCGAGGTGACTGAGGAGGTCAAAGTCTTACAGGCCACTCCAGCAAGTCTCAGCTGCCCAACTGGAGCAACAGCAGGGATTAGGTGGGCAGCTTCTCTCAGCAGGCATGTGCACTGCTTCATTAGGCGAGCTGCCATGACGGTGAGAACAGTGAAGAGGGAGGGAAAGAAGATCCCTAGCAAGTGATTCCAACGTCCTGAAGAGAAGAGAGAAGGGAGCATTATGTACACTCAAAGAAAGCATGGGACATGAAGATACAGCTGATTATACAACTGGCCTCAGGCTTTCTGCATTCTGAACACTCATTATGTAAGAAGCAAAGGTCTGGAGTGGCTTGTTTCAGGACAGAAAGCAGCCAGACACCACGCCTCGGCATTATGGCCTGGGAGGCACCAGTCCCAGCTGCATATCAAGACTCACCCAGGCCCCTAGGCTTCACTCAATGCTTCCTGGATGAGAATCTAGACATGTGTGTCTTGCACAGTGCTGGCTTATTTTGTTTTTAATTTTAGTGGTATCCAAACCAGTAACTATTGACTTAAAGAAACATAACAGGATATTCTGAGTCACACTGATTAACCAACATGGAAAAAAGATCACTCCCCTCAACTTTTTGAGAAAAATAAACAAATTTTAAAAAAGTTTTTTTTTTTTTTGTGTGTGTGTGTGTGTGCGCATTTGGGGTTACAGTTGCTGTTTTTTTCCAGATCACCAAAAGCCCCCAGCACCCTCATCAAGGACTCACATCTGCCTGTATCTCCAGCTCCAGGGATCTGACTCTCCCTGAGCCTCATGTGTATCCACATTCACATACAGGCATACAAATAAAGAAAGAAAAAAAATTAACTGGCTTTAAAACAAACAGAACTAGAGTCTCCTATAGTCCAGGCCGACTACACTTATTTCATGTAGCTGAGGATGACCTTGACCTTCCATTGCTCCTGCCTCCACCTCCCAAGTGTTAGGATTACAGATATCCTACCACGCTTGTTTTATGCAGTCCTGGGCGTCAAATCGTCAAATCCAGGGCTTTAAGCGAGCCAGGCAAGTGGTTCCAACTAAGCCACACCCCAGAACTCAAGCATGGACCCCATCACAGCAAATACTCCCTACCACCACCTAGAGCCACCTTCACGGATTGTATCCAACCCCGACAGTACAGGCACCCACCATTCCAATTACGCTTTGCACTTTCATCCCACAGTGCAAGGCTTGCTACTGCCCTCCTTGCCAATCGCAGGGCACGAGAAAAAGCACACCACTCTTTCTCCTTTCTCAAGTCCTGCAAAACGTTACCTTCTTCGAGAAGATGCTACATATCCATATGAAGTTTCTCTCGCCAATTCTGCCAGTCTTGTTCCCTAAGGTGAGATAGGAACCACGAGAAACAAGTTATTGGACTTTGCTTCAACCAAAGCAGAAAACACCTTAAATTATTTTCTGTCTCCGGGAATCGGCTATGTGGCCAGCTTATTTTATTGTCACCCACGAACAGATTACTGCAGCTGTAAACGACCGGCTTAACTTGTACTTACGGGGTAATAAAATATGGCTGGCTCAGAAGGGGGGAATATCTACCCAAACCCGACATTCACCACTTGCTGAACCCAGACAGTAAGGAAGCGCTGGCAAACATTATCTCTTTTCAAGACGACTCTTAAGAGCAATTTAAATCAAACCTGCGTTTAAGTATCAGACTTGAAACCTAAAAATACAGAAACACGAAGAGCGACCGGCAGGGATCGCCAAGGGTCACTGGGCGCAGCGTAGCTTCCCCAGCTAGGCCTCGTGTCTAACGCGGGCAGAGGAGGGGCGCGTGCGCAATAGCCGTCCGGAACCGAATCTGCAACCGGCCAGCGCCCTTGGGTGACGAAGTCAAAAAGTGTGTCCCGGGGGCCCCACAGCGGCCCCGCTGGCCCTTACTGACTGCTGCCGTTCCCAGCCACCCTTCCCGTCCCGGGTACCTACGCTCAGGAACCCAGTCTCTCCACGAAGCGAGACTGGTGCCGCGATCACCCTCGCCGACCTCCATCAGCGCACCGCCTCCACGCGGCCCGGCGCGCTCCTTACGTCACCTCCGCGCCGCCGGAAGCGAGGTTGCTGGGCGCTGCTGGCCGGAGGCCACGCCGCCCTCCTCTCCCCGGCAGGCGCCATCTTTGCCGAGCACAGGAAGCTTCCTTCCGGTATTGGGTAGTGAGAGGCCACACTAGGAAACTCAGACGGAGGGGAGGAGGTGAATTCCGGAAGGCAGGGCTAGAACCTCCGACTTGTGCGGTGTTTGGGTAGCGACCCTAGCTTCAGTCCGTGTTGCACCATTCCCTTGGACCTTTCACAGGTTCTGTAATGCAGCCGGCCGCGGTGGTGACATTGAGGAATGGGGAGGGAGGGTGCGGTCAAGCGGCGACTAATTAGAGAAGCGAGTTGTAGCTCCCGCTGAAGGTCTTCGTGGAAATGCAAGCAGTTTGGATTAAACAACAAAAGTACAGACCACATACGATGGCTGTTACGATATGTTACGGTGCGGCGAGGGGATACTATGGAATGACCTGTACGCCAACAACGCCACACTTACACATTGCTGTAGTTTCAGTACTGGGGGCAGAAGCAGAGGTCTAGTCTGTGCTGCTGTTGAGACCCTGTTTCGAGGCGTGTTGGCGCACGTGTTAAATTACAGCATCAGGAGACAGAGGCAAAAGGATGTCTGAGTTCTGAGGTTAGCTTGGTCTAATATCGAGTCCCAGGACAGCCAGGACCACATAGGGTGTGTCTCAGCATACCCCCACCCCTACCCCAAACAAAGAAAACCTCAGTAGGACTGGCGAGATAGCTCAGTCCATAAAATGCTTGCTATGCAAGCATGAGGACTTGTAGTGCTGGGGAAGCAGAGACTGGATCTATGGGACTTTCTGGGTAGCCAGTCTAGCCTACTGGAGCTCAGGCACTGTCCAAAGGACAAGGTGGATGGCTTCTGAGGGGTGATGCCTGATCCCTGTCCTCTGGTCTCCAGATGTACACAGCTGAAGTCTGTATTGACTTAAAAGTTTTCCTTCTACTGTATTTTTAAAAATATAATTATGCCTCTCCCGAATGTGCAGGAAAATTTATGGGAATTGGTTCCTTCTATCGTGTGGGCTCTGGTAAATTGAACTCAGGTCAAGTGCTTCACCCACTAAATTGTTTTTTTTTTTTTTTTCCTAGATAGGGTTTCTCCATGTAGCCCTGTCCTAGAACTCATTCTGTAGACCAGGCTGGCCTTGAACTCACAGAGATCCACCTGCCTCTGCCTCCTAAGTGCTGGGATTAAAGGTGAGCACCCTGTCCCCTCCAGGGTCCCACTGAACTCTGTTGCTGACCCTAAATTTTTTTTTATTTTTTCTTCTTCTCTCCTTCCTTCCCTCTCTCTTTCTTTCAAGACAGGGTTTCTCTGTGTAGTCTTGGCTGTCCTGGAATTAGCTCTGTAGACCAGGTTGGCCTGGAACTCACAGAGATCCGTCTGCCTCTGCCTCCTGAGTGCTGGAATTAAAGGGGTGCACCACCATGCCTGACTGCTGGGCTCTAAATCTGTTTAAATAAATAAATAAGCTTTTTCCCCCCCTAATTTTTTTTTTTCTTTTGGTAAGAGTGTATTGCTTCTCTTCTTCGTGGCTAAAATCAAGTGTAAACTCTGGTTTTTGTTTAATAAAAGATTGCTGAATTAACCAGGCAAGATCCTCTTGCTATTTTAGCTTTACTGTAGCTAGGACTGTGTTGCCATACTAGGCTTACCTTGGTTGTTCTTGTTTAAGAGTCTCATGCTGATTCCAAAATTTAACTCAAATAGATCAGAGGTATAAAGGTATAAAACTCTTAAGGGGAAACACATTTTTTAAATTAATTTATTTTTTATTCACTTTACATCCTGGTTGTAGCTCCATCCCTCCTTCCCTCCCTCTACCCTCCACCCTTGCCTATTCCTCAGCAAAAGGGAGCTCCCTTTTCCATTCACCCCAGTTCATCAAGTAGCATCAGGAATGAGCATGTCCTCTTCCCCTGTGGCTTAGGAAGGCCATCCCACCAGCGGGAAGTGATCAAAAAGTTAGCAAGTGAGTCCTTGTCCAATGCAGTCCTCTCTTCCCTTACTAGAGTACCCACATGAAGCCTAAGCTGCCAGTCGGCTACATCTTAGTAGAGGGACTATGTCCAGTTCCTGCATGAGCCTTGATTGATGCATCTCAGCAAGCACCTTTGGGGCCTGGTTGGTTGACTCTTGTTCTTATGGTGCTCCTGTCACCTCTAGGTCCTTTTTTCTCCCACTTTTCCACAAGACTCACTACTCATGTTTGGCTGTGAGTTTCAGCATTTGTTTTGAGGTGCTGTTGGGTAGAGTCTGTCAGAGGACATCTCTGACAGGCTCCTGTCTGCAAGCTTACCAGAGTATCGTCCATAGTGTCAGAAGTTGGCACTCTCCCATAGTGTGGGTATTTGGTTGGGGCAGGCATTGGTTGGGTATTCTCTTAATCTCTGTTCTAACTGCTCTTATCTTTTACCCTGCACATCTTGAAGGCAGGGTGAATTTGGGGTTGGAGCAAAATTGATATCACTGGGTCATATAATCTGTTAACATGGGCTTCCCTTGGTTACAGATTCCCTGTAAATAGAGGTTCTTGGTGACTGGTGTCTCTCACTGTGAATTAAACTGTCTCTAGTCAGTTCTAAGAAGGGTCTCCCTAGGCAGGAGGTGAACTATCCCAGACAGACCAGTGCAGTGGTGGCAGTCATCTCTGCTGTCTTAGTTAGTTTTCTTCTTCTTTTTTTTTTTTTTTTTTTCCAAGACGGTTTCCCTGTGTAGCCTTGGATGTCCTGGATTCACTTTGAAGACCAAGCAGAGCTCCAATTGCCTCTGTCTCCCTGAGTGCTGGGATTAAAGGTGTACACCACCATGCCCAGCTTTAGTTACTTTTCTATTGCTGGGTCAAAACACCATGACCAAGGCATCTTATAAAAGAAAGCATTTAATTTGGGTCATTTACGTAAGGGCTTGCTTCCGTTTCAGAGGGCGGGTCCATGACCAGCATGGCAGAGAGTTTGGCAGGCAGGAGCAATAGCTGAGCGCTCACATCTAATGCAAAAACAAGGGGCAGAGAGCGAAAAGCTAACTGGGAATGACAAGGCTTTTAAAACCTCAAAGCTCCCCCACCCCTGACCCTGTGACATACCTCCTCCAATAAGGCTGTGTGCTCTAATTTTTCTTGAACAGTTCCTCCAGCTGCAGACCAAGCATTTAAATCTATGGGCCATTCTTATTCAAACCATCACAGCTGGGTTCTGATCCATGAAGACACAGGCTCAGGTTAGAAAGTGGACCTAAGTTTTCTTGTGAAAGGGATGACAGTGGAGTCCTGTGTGTTCACTGAAGACAGAGCACCTTCACTCCAGGCTCCTCAAAGCTACTGTACCCCCTCATCTCATGCCCAAACCTAGTCACAGTTCCCTGGAGTCACTGGGACAGTCGGATGCTGTAAGTCTTGTAGTCCCATGTGGCTAGAAGTGATGCCAGCTAGGAGTACAAGAATCGGTTCATTTCCTCTGCCAGTTAGGCGTAGGCATGTTAATGGGAATCTTGGGGAGCTCCAGCATCGCCATCATTGGCACCTAGGGAATCTGGGTTCTTTCTTAGGGTTCTTACTCATTAATAAAAGATTTTAGGAACACACACAAATGGAAACTGAGGATAATTAGAATTCAAAAAGAAACCCCCAGAGCAGGTGAACCGTAAATCTCAAAGCTGCCTGAAGGAGAGAAGGGAAGGGAGAAGAGAAGGAACAAGAGCCGGGCAGCTTGAGCCGGGCAGCTTGAGCCGGGCAGTTCACAGGCCAGCCACCTAGCGTCGGCCAGGTGCTACGCAAGCCAGCCACCCGGTGGCAGGCATCCCTGTGGTGAGCAAGAGCCACACAGCTTGAAATAGGGGCCTGCAGGTCAGCCAACATGATGGGCAACCTTGTGGTGGAGAGTAGGGCTTTAGGAAAATTACAAGGGAGCCCAAAGTGTTAGATCCGGGGATTAAGACTTCAGTCTTCGTCTTTGTTAGGTTTCTATTGCTGTGATAAAAACCATAACCAAGCTGGGCGTGGTAGCACACGCCTTTAATCCCAGCACTGGGGAAGGCCAGCCAGGTCTACACAGGGAAACCTAATCTCATCAAAACCAAATCAAACAAAAACTCATAACCAAAGGCAACTCAGGGAGAAAAAGGGTTTATTTGACTCACATATCTACATCACACACCATCATCAAGGAAAGTCAAGACAGGAATTCAAGGCAGAAGCCTGGAGGCAGAAATTGGAGCAGAGGTCATGAAGGAATTAGCTTGCTCTCCATGGCTTGTTGAGCCTGTTTTCTTACAGCATTGAGGACCACCTGCTCAGGGGTGATACTGGGCCCTCCCACCTTAATCATTAATCAAGAGAATGCTCGACAGGTTTGCCTATAGGCCAGTTTGATTGAGACATTATTTTCAGGTGAGGTCCCTCCTCCCAGAGGACCCTGGCTGTGTCAAATTGTTTAAAAAACAAAACAAAACAAAAACCAAAACTGAAACCAACTAGCCAGCACTGGCAGTGCCTGAAAGAAAAAGACAGGAAGAAAAAGAAATAGCTCCACGTTTGCTAGTCAGGCCTCAGAAA